AAGTTGATAATGATTGTTCATCTTCCAAAAGGATTTTTGAATTAAAGCATTCATCAGTGGGTTCCAACTGCTAAACAATTACGTTAGAATCTACACCTTTTGAAAGACTACTTACATGTGGTGTGACTTCCAAGCTCTTTCTTTGTGGTTCTGTGTCCTGGAAGAGTCTCAGAAGTGTTTCCTCCCTATGGCAGGGGTCGCACTTCTGTTTTCCTCTCTAGCATGATGGGATGGAGTCTCACTGTCTTCAAGGGAAGCTGGTAAACAAACTAAGGCGTAGCTGTGCTTTACCCTCAGATTCACTCTGACTCTCCTTTGCATACACAACAGCTGACTGGTTGTTGTAAGTAATTAGTATGACAGCCTGCTAGTGGAATTTATAAAGAATCCAAAATGCTAAATTTTCAGATAGAAATTTAGACTTGGGATACCTGTCTCTCTTTCTTTCTGAACATTCCTCATAAAAAGAATGAAGCGTCCCTGGCTGGCATAGCTCAGTGGATTGAGCGCGGGCTGAGAACCAAAGTGTGGCAGGTTCGATTCCTAGTCAGGGTACATGCTTGGGTTGCAGGCCATGACCCCCAGCAACCACACATTGATGTTTCTCTCTCTCTCTCTCTATCTCCCTCCCTTCCCTCTCTAAAAATAAATAAATAAAATCTTAAAAAAAAAAAAGAATGAAGCATGCTAGACGGTGGCTTTGTGGTCAGAGAAGCCTGGGATCAAACACTGGCTCTACTGTTTACTAGCTGTTTAAGTTAATTTAAGTAAGTTTAATTTCTCATAGCCTTACCTTCCTCTCCTCTAAGTGAAAATGAAATTAACATTGCAAGGATATTCAAATGCAAGGTGATGCTTCAGCCTTGTTCTCACAGAGTTCTGAGAAGACCCAGAAGTTAACTATCAAGAAATAACAAATCATATGTAAATCACCCCCAACCAAATTAAGTCTATGTCAGATAAGATAGAAAAGAGCTATTTACTTTTCTTGATTAAATCCAAGGAAATGAACAATGATAGGCAGTAAAAATAGGAAAGAAAACTATTCTAAAATGACAAGTACTGACACCAGAATTCTTGAGCGTTGACGAAATGAAATGAGAGGTTTTGGAGGTCAGTTCAGCAGAGCCTATGGAAGGGGGTTTCAAAAGTAGTCAGGGCTTTCTACTCTGGTAGGAAGCATGAGTTGGTTTTGGGGGACACCACCAACCAAGGAGTGTTGCCCCCCAGGGCTGTTCTGACCCCTGATGTCTGTCTGCCTTGGCAGACCACCACACGGACAGCCCCCAGGACAGCGGCAACGAGTCCTTCAAGCCTGCGTTGCCTGGAGTGAAACTGAGAACAGCTGATCAGTGCTTTCACTTGACAAGCATGTATGATTTCCTTTGAATGTGAGGATTCAAGAATCTTGTGTAGTTTGATACTAATAAAACTTTCTCAGCTAATGTCTATAAAGCTGAATTAAAAATCATAACCCAGGTTCTAAACAAAGCTTTGCCATAACTCTATTTTCAGAAGAGCACTCAGAGAGCCAGTGATTCCATCACTGTTCAGCGGGCTCTCATGCAAACTCATGGTCTCCTGGGTATGATATCCAGAATCAGATGGTCTTCGGCAGGTACAGCATGAAGTGAGTGGAACAGAACTGGGTACTACCCTCTACTGTGTTCTGGCTGTAAAACCAGTTTCGAATCAAATCCAAGATGTAAACTATCCTCAGCACTGAGACCTCATACTCCAGTTAATAAAGGAATGTATTGCTTCTTCCTAGTTGAACTCAAAATGTTTGGGTTTCTAATTAAGGATCCCTGGGCCCTACCTATAAATGAAATTTTTAATGAATTACCCATAACTGTTATCTACCATATAACAGACGAGACTCTGAAAAATGTGATCTCTACAAAGATGATTATATTTTATTTTCAAGGTACTGTCATGGGGAATATTAATTATCACCACAGAGAGGTCCGTATTTAGTACACAATAAACTGTTTTCTTTTTTGGCCCATTTTTGTTCCTATTTATAAGCATTTTGTAAGTTTTCCTTTACCATTTCCCCCATTGTTGTCTTAGCCAACCTATCATAATCATTTTGAAACAAAATCCAGCCTCCACTATTATTTTCACTTTAGATTTTATAAAATCTACCTGATTTCACATATTCTTAGGTTGCAGAACTTTTCACATTACTACAGTATCAGTGCACTATCTCAAAGGCCAGAGAAAGAGAGACTAAGTGTTTAATATTTGTAAAGTCTTTTTTAAGTATGTGGTAGGCAGCAGTAGTAATGCAAGTAGCCTTGCCACTATTATGTAGAAAGAAACTATTTTATCACTTTCTCAGTTTGCTCAGATTCAAAAGGCCTGGGTTAGGGAAATAAATTTGTCTTTTTATCTCTACCAATAGCAGCAAAAACTGAATATAGTTATTCTAAAAGACCTTCAATGAATGGCTATTTCTAAAAATCACTTTATATTACAATATGTGGGTTAATAAACTTTTCAAGTGTGATATGTAAAGAAAAAAGTTTTAGGGAATTAAAAGATGTGAATTCAAATTTATATTCAACTTTGGTCTCCTTTATTTTTCTTTCATGGCATTTTATTAACTGGTAGAAATTTATAACTGTTTTGATGTTAATCATTACAAATCAGTTGTGAGAGGACATGAGGATTCATGTAGAGTACTAGGCCCTTAGGTCAATAAAATAAGGCCAAAGTCAAGATGAAAAATAAGAACCTATGCGTATTCAATCACCCAACATATATTTACAGAAACCCTACTCTGTATGAAACTTTGAGTGAAGTGCAACAAGTAATAAAAAATATGTAAGACAAAGCTTGTCCTCAAGGTGCTTACAAGAAATTATCAGAATAAATCAGGTAAGAATGTTTACTGACCAGTACAAAGAGAAAGTTCTTATAAGAAAGGCAAATCGGATACCACATTCATATTTTAAATAGGTATTATAGGAAGATACACAGTAACCTCTACAGAGTAAAAATAAGGAGGCTTTTCAGCTGTCTATACTTTTATGGTTTGGAATTTTTACAAGCATGTATTATTTTTGTAATCAGAAAAAAACAAAATAAAAATATATCTATGAATAAACACTGCAAGGAAACAAGTGAATATACAATATTTGTTGACTTAGGTTGTTAGTGGCTTTTTGGGAGATATCTGTCTTGTTTCATAGTTATTTTGTTGTTCTGAAAGAATTTTAATGATGACTTAATTCAACAATATAAGAAGAGTCTCTATAAGACCCTTTAAGTTCTTTGATCTGAATAATTTGTTTTATTTTGCATTGAGAGCAGAAGCCTCATTGCCATATTTATTTCTTGGTAAAGAGTAGGGCTGTGAAGACAATTAAGGAATTTTCTCTATTTCTGTTTGTAATATATTTTTTCAAACTATTGTATGATGTCCAGTCTAGATTGAAAATGATAGAGTAAACCCATATTAATCTACTTGTAAGGATGTATTTCACTACCATCTATTATTAGGGTAATTTTTCTATTATTACTAAATTGGAACATGGTCATTTATGATTCCCCAATTTCCAAACACTTTCATAATCTTGATATACCATCCTGAAAAAAAGAAAATTAAAGCAAATACTGACTACCTTTCAGTTGTTTAAAAGCTTCAGCAATGAAAAGCATCCTCAGCCTTGACCTTCATGTTCCAGAAGGCCCCGCCACACTAAATCGAAATGGGACCTTCTTCACTTCAGTAGGTCCTAGTTACATCATTGACCATTTTTCAAATTCTGTACTCTTGTTTTTAGTGTCACTTCAGGCTGAATCATTCTTTTCAGAAATGACACTGACTTTGATACCTCTGTAGCTTTTCATAGTACAACTCAACAGCTACTTTTAAGTGGAAAATATTCTGTTCAAGAATGAAAATTTTTCTGTTAATGAAGGCTTCTGTCCTTCTGGACATGAACAAAGAATGTCTGGAACTTGCTGACTCCATTTAAAAATTGTATTATTTTGTAAAGTTAATTGTGGGTTTCCCATTATCCTTTAAGTACTATTAAATTGATTTACTCATTCCACAGAATGATGGGGACTAGGGGAGGGGAGAAAAGGACCTCTGCATCCAGGTCCAGCCCACAAGCTGAAATGTAGACACTGAGGCAGTGATTCTGGTATTAAGGCCTGATCCACAATTTCATTTTCATGGTAGTTGTGTTTATATTTGAGAATTTATTTACAGTCTTTTAAAAATAACATTTATATACTTCTATTACCTACAATAACATCTATCAGAGACCTAAGTGAGAACATTTTAAAATTAAGAAGAGGTCTAGGACGTGGAACTGGATGTAAATGAGTATCTACTTATACATGCACCTGCATGACTACTGTAATTCAGTGGAACTTAGATACATTTCACAGGAGGGAGAGAAGAGACCCATGGTCTTTGCATGTGACTGGCATGACTTCATGTCACCACGCCAGCAGTGCACAGGAGACCAGGCGAGTGTAGAAATGCACAGGGCTCATTTCACAGGTTCACTTACATTTAAAATGTCTTTAGAACCAGCGACCCTCTAAAAGCAACTTCTGGCCTTTGGAGAGAACTATTTTTCTTTATTTTCAAAAGAAGCATCACAGCCTCATTCTTATTTACAATTAAAAATTTAAGTTGAGATCATATTTGATAAAGTTCTTGGTTAGAAATTACTGAGAGGAAAAATACTTTCATTTTTAAAATTAATTACAAAACAGCTTCTTTCAGGTTTTGCAGTAGATCAAACTAGCTCTCAAATTATGATTTTAACAGATGAACATCAACTTGATTTATCAAATTCTAGTGGTAACTGGGGTGGTGAGTTACAGAGCTCACCCTCAAAAGCCATGCTAATGGGTAAACTGCCAATGGCCCATTAAATGAGCCTCTACTTAGTCTACTACAATTTCAGCTGCATCTTTATGGAATGAAGCAAAGCTCAACAAAGAACCCATAAAATGAAATGATGCAGACCAACCTTTTATTGCACCCACAATATTTTGGTCTAGTCCTTTCCGGTTGTCATTCAGTCCTCTTTTCCTCTTCCCATTGGGTAAGGAGTTAGCCAAAGTCTTGTCATCAAAAAATGCACACACCAGTTTTCTAAACAGAAGGCTTCCTGAGCGAGTGTAGTTTGACAATATAGAGTCCAGCTGAGATTTAGGCATAAACACATCAAAGCCTTCAGCAAGTTGCACTTCTGGCTACCAAAAGAACATAAATATTTTATTAAAAGCAAGATTTGAAGCATTTGACTTTGGGCACATGTGCAACAAAAAAACATTACTAGCTATTGCAATGTCCACAGCCTGCAAACCACACAGTCTCAGCTTTGTGTGTCAGTATTTGCAACCTCCAAAACCAACAACTAGTTATGGTTCACAAAACAAGATGCTCCAATTTCAATGTTAAGTCTTGTCAAAAGCAAAGGAAAGTAGCACACTGTAAAAGCATTCTTATCTTTAGAAATAGTCAAGGGAAAGCTGGATAATGACAAAATCATATCATTCCAGAGCTATAGGGGACTTGAGACTTCTGGGTGAAACACTCTAATTTTTTAAATGAAGGAACTTAGGCCCAAATGATTTAAAAATAATTTAAATGTACTCAGTGCATTACAGTTGACAGATCTCTTTCTCCTACATTAAACAATTTAATTTCATTTGCCTAAGGACACAGATCTGGAGCTCTCCCACAAGGCCCATGCTCTTTGTACTGGACCAGTGGTTTTTAGCTGTGGAACTGTATTATTTTTCCCCAATGAAAACCTATGTAAACTAATACACGAAATAAATATAAATGATGGACAGGTGCCCCAGGTAGTTTAAACCCACGTTGATCCCTCCTTTTGGGGGGAACCTGAAGCTACACCCCAGAGTACCACTGGAAAACCAGTGCACCAGTCACATTTGTCCCTGTCAGGGATTTTATGTCTGGGACACTGGGTCAGAAGACCTATAAGGTGCCTTTCAACTTGGACTCAACCGCATATGCTCAAACATTAATAATACATTCTCTGGGATAACACCATGGATGTTTACAACCTGCCTCTTCCACCCAGCTCACATCATTTCTTTTTCAAGGCCTTCCCTAACTCCTTCATTCCAAGGAGGCAGCAGTGTGCTCTTCGTCACCGCTAATTATCAGAAATGCTTACACGAGTGTATTTACTATTCTGTATTAGAATTATTTATCAGATTATGGCCCTTCCAGATACCTGGAACTCCACTTTGGTGTCTCTAGAGCCTGGTACATAGTAGGCACTCAATAAATTATTGTCCAACAGATAAAAATTCATTAATCATAATCTAAACTGGTAAGTCATTCACTGTTGGTCACAATGTGACTTTAAAACAGTAACTTTAATATGAAGAAATGTAATTGGTAAGCTTTCATTAAAAAAGTTCCAAAGGAAACCTCACTTAAGTAAGAGGTATTATAAAAGCTTATTCTCAGTTACCACATTTATCACTTTGCAAACCTGGCACTACTTTAGGTTTTCTAAATCATTTTAGAAACGTGAGGATTAGGGATTAGTTTTCTCTCCTAGAGAAGAAAACAGAAATTATTATTTTTGTCTTACTGCTTTTCGAAATGCCTAGCACATTATGGTCAGAGTAAAGAGGTCTCAGAGAAGGGCTTGAATTATTCAGATGACGTGGAAAGGAGTTTGGGCCCTGTCCCTCCCAAAGGGAATTCCCCACTGGATTGTCCAGAAAGACATCTCATTTCTCCGCTTCACTCTGCTGTCCCACTTTTGGTCTCTGAATGCTTGGTAAATATCACTGTGAAAACAGTGCTGTCAGACTGTTTCCCCACTTTTGCATCTTGCTTCTGATAAAGGTCGGTAGAGGAGGCTGACGGGAGCTGGGGGCTGGACCCCCAACTCCCACAGCAAACGCTGGCACACCCCAGGCACTCAGTGCATATTTAAGTGATTCTATGTAGAAATATTAGGATTGAGAGAATTTTACCATCATAATCTCAGATGAAGTTTCATTCATACCCAGAATTTTATTTTGCACATTCTATGGCTGAGTTTAAACATTTTGTTCTAAATGAACTGATTGCAGATTTTTGCCAAGTGCTTCTATGTCATTTGAAAGTAATGAAAAAAGAATTCCTGTCTGCTTTGTAGAAACAGCTACTCACAGCTATTTGAGAGTCTAGGGAGAAACAGAAGCTCTTAAACTTGTAAGAGAGGGAAGGGAAAGATACCAACTTGTCTTATTCACACACCTCTGGTGTCATCACAGAGGCTCTGAACACTCAGCCTCCTGACCTCTGAGATTCCCAGAACCTCCCTTGGGACTCACCTCGTAGGACTGGGTCCCCTGACCTGAACTAGCCATCAGGCAGAACCAGTCACTCCTTTCTTCATGCACTTACAGAATTTTCTGTGGGCTAGGTTTACAGTCCTTTCCACACTGGATTCATCTAGTTGGGAGTTTGTGTTTCTCATTAGAATGTGCACTCTTTTGTATTCAGTGTATTCAGAGCGCAAACCGCCAGTTAGGGCCCAACAGTATTTGTCAGAATACACAAGACGGCTATGCAGGAATTCATTCAACATGGCTAGTATTGATTTAGCGATTTTTTTGTCCCTGTATAAATGAGGAAGTGGGTTTGAAAGTCTAAGCACCGTGGTTCAGCAACCCAGTCTTCTCATAACAGTACTGTGCTGCCTCAGAGAGCAGAGCACCCAGAGAACACGGACCTGCCTGACTCAATACACATTTATTGAGCACCCTCCGTGTGTGAGGAGTTTAAAGTCGGGCTCAGTGGGTGAGACACATACACAAATACCTAACATACAACAAGTAAGAAGTGATAAATGGTACCTATAAAAGAGGTACAGGGCATAAAGCAGCATTTGGCTGGTGAGGGGTGAAGGGGTTCAGGAGGGAACAGGACAGCATTTTACCAGGGCCCTGGAGGTAGGATTTAGGAAACGGATGCAGTTACTGTTTCTGGCATCTGCTGTGAGCCCTAAAACTAAATATCTAAAAGTTTCTGTGGAGCCAAGAGACTCCCTAAGTTTGGATGCCTTAGCACTGATTTCTGGGACACTATCCCAAAACAGAAGTTGTCAATGCTTCCTGTTCCACCTTCTGTTGCCAGAAAGATATTATTTTCAAGCATTCTTTCCAGAACAAGGAACACAAACTCGCCCAGTTATGAGCCCCTTACAAAGAAGTCAGTTTTACTAGTTGAGGCAGCAGCCAGCAGCAGCAAAAGCAAAGGTGACAAATCTCTGCCCTTTTCTTGCTCTTCATGTCCTTCTGCTCATGTGGAGTCTTAGCTGGCAGCGCATGGGCGCTAACGTTATATCTGCAAGGTGCCACAAAGCAAACCAATTTCTTTAAAAAAATAGGGTAGCTTTACTTTCTGAGACGTACAGGAAAGATAACAGGTTAATTTAATTAACCACAAATTTTCACTGGAAATCTTTTTATTTCCTCCATTGTCTAAATATAACCACAGTGGATTACTACCATGTAATGATCTATATCTTTGTATGCGTACTTAAAAACAGGATACAATTCTTTAATTGTATTTTTGAATCTCTTTTTTGTTTACTGTCTCTAGTTTAAATGAGATTCTTCTGCTTACTAATCATGGCTATGATAGAAACCACCATTCCAAATGAACATCCCCTTAAAAACCAGATTTCCTTTGACAGAATCACTATTTGATGCTTGAATGAAGACCGCTAGCATACTAATTTACAGAATCTATTGGTTACTGAAGTAATAATATATTCAAAAAATTCTATCAAATACTTGAGATCTTTGAATGATGATACCCAAAGTAGAGGCAAAATTTATGACATTTATAGTTATCATTTTAAGAGCTAAGAGTCTAAATTCCCACTATAAATTTTGATTTTCATGTATGTCTGGTCTACTTTAGGTACCTCACCTACTTAGCATAATAATGTATCAAATGTTGATTTTCCCTTATCCAGTGGCATTACATCTTACTGAGTGAAGTTCTGGAGGCAAAAACTCTTAAGGACTCTTAAAAACTGTTCCTGGACCCAGGCTTCTGGACATTATGTTATCTTGTCTCTCTTTCCATTTCGGTTGTGGTCTCCCTTTGCTTAGAAGTTGACCTTTGAATATCACGAGTTTGAAACTGCATGGGTCAACTTGTGGATTGTTTTCATAAATTCCTGTCCTGTTTCTGATCTATGGTGGAGGTCCGAGAATGTGAGGGGCTGACCGTGTGTGCTGTTCTGTGCCATTTTACACAGCAGGCTCGAGCATCTGTGGGTCTGGGCATTCACAGGGGGCCCTGGAACCCATCCGTCCCCTGGGTGCTGAGGGATAATTGTAGTTAAGTTCTCGAGGAGTCAGAAGTTTTATGTAGATTTTTGATTGGGCGGGGTCAGCACCCCTACCTGCCATGTTTTAAGGGTCAACTGTAGATAGGGCCAAGACCTAGCTAGGGTGGAAGCTCTCCTAACCAGGTCAGTTCAAACTTTTCTCCCCTAAGTCCCTATGAGAATATCATGTGACTCCCCTGTATAACCTAAAGAAAAATATGTAAAACAATTGGAAATAAATGATACGAATTAATCCCAGAGGGAACTTTTGTCATACAGGCTTTTTATATAAGGTATTATTAATGCCAAATTTTAGTTAGACATAGAAAGCTGTATGTGGTCATAGGTTGAAAGAGTAACAGGCAGAGCATGAATATTCATACTGGGCACTAGCCCCAGATTTTCCATTGTAAATGAATAAATTAGACACAATAGTTTGTATACTTGGCAGGCTAGCTAGTCAAGTTCCAAACTGGCTCCAGCCTGAAACCTAGAAGAAAACTGTGACTGAAGAGGCAAGATTTTGTTGTATAAAACTGATTGTTTTTGGACTGAAAACATATAACAGAATTTATAAGGATGTCTAAAGGCTGTGAATTTAGCTTTTCTGTTCACAATACTATCATATATATTGATCCTTATTCTCATTTAATATTTATTTAGCATTATATTAGGTATATTTCTAGGAAAATAAACTTTATGAAAAAAAATTTTAAAAACATAACCTGCCCCCCCATAATTGATTTGATTTTGCTCACAAACGTGATCTATTTCTGTTTGGAAAAAAAAATGGTTTCCTATAAGCCAGGTCTGCTCCAAGTGGATTTAGCAAGAATTACTATTCCCATTTATTAAATGCTATTCCAAAATCATGGC